TTTGTTTACCGTACACTTTATCATTCATCTCCAAACTTGTGCTGCAGTACCGTACTTTGATAAACCTATTTTGATACAAGGCATTTGGTGTTGTGGGTTTCACGCGTCACTCTACCGTGGATTATTTGATACCGTGGAATTAATAATATATATATATATATAATCCACAAATTTAATCGGTTAAATCTGATGTTCACTGTAGACGAAGTTACCATGTCGTTCATTGACATCGGTAGGGCATCATCGGGCTAGATAAAAGTACCACAACCGTTTATCGATGGGACCGAAAATCCCATTATCTAATCCCACTTGCCTTCCCTCACACAAATCCATTAACCCAGTGAAATTGTATCGAACGAAAAACCGGGGGGCAAAACTGGTGTGTTTATATATTCTGGCAAAACAGAGATAAATCGCATTCTTGCCACCTTTTAGGAGTGGGATAAAACCAGTGCGATAAGCTTTGTCAAGTCTGAAAGAGTGAGAGTTTATTTACAAATTTGGTACGGTAGGAAAATATCGACAAATCTGAGCAGCGGTTATCCGATCGCCGTGCCGCGATCCAGTCGGGTACAGAAATCGTACAGAGTGGGAAGTACCGAGGATAATAAATCAATCAGTTGTTTGTCGGTGTGAGCACAGTTTAGGAACAGTTCGCATAACTTGAACAGTTGTCGAGTCGAGCACAGCATCCAATCCGGTTCAGAACTGGGACTCGGGAGGTACGGTCGAAGAGTATCCAGTTCACGAGCAAACCGATCCAATCGCAGGAGTAGTTCACGTCCGACTGGATGGGACCAACACAAGTTGGAAATGGGGACAGTTGTTGTGTGGTGTGCCACGGTGAACATGTTACAGATCAGACGCAAGGCTTCACCACATGCAACAGATGAGTTCAGGCTGGGGAGAATGCAACGAGTTAGCAAGGACTGTGATATGGGTTTGTCGACCTCACCCCAAAGTGACACGATGCATGGGGTGAGATAGGCAACCGAATTGGCTAGAGTCGAACACACCTCAGCTGCGCACAGACTCCAATCCATATGACATGATAGCCAACAAGCTAATCGCGTTGTGGATTGTATCATCAGATTCGAATCTGTTGAACAGCTTAAGCGGTGCGGATTCGAAGCACTGAATATGCGACCCAGCAGTCTCAATGCGTAAATCACACATTTGGTGGTCAGACTAGGAAGTGTGGTACTTCGACATTGCGTTATGCTAAGGGAAAATTGGATCAATACACGTGCCAAGTCCTCGTGGAACACAAATAGACGCTGACATGCTTTTTTGGATCGGGTAGACAGTAGAAATGCACATCGAAGAATGATCTCACTAGTGTAGATCACTTCCTCGTCCAATTCGTTCCACAGGGTGCCACACGGAGCATCATCTTTGACCATCCAGTTATCAGGATCGGGTGAGCCAAAGCTGCGGGAGCAGTAAAGGTGAAAGATTATCGGGGCCGTAGAGAAAACCAGAATAAACTCGAGAAAAATTGGAACCACGAAATAGTGTGAAAGTTTTCATGAATTAACAGATGAATGGTTTTTGGAAAGCGGGGAGCTACGAGAATCATGGTTTCAGATCCAAATATGGAACGAGACTCTTCGTATTGGTGTAGACAAAACACGGCACGGTCAGTCTGGTGTTATAAATCCCACAAAAGTGTGAAACGCTGAGGTAGCTGTGAGATCAATCAATGTAGATTCAACAAATTTCTCTTTTCTCCCNCCCCCCCCCCCCGCGCCCTCTAACTCGATTTATTGCATCAGATTGTAATGATCTAGAGGAACAATAGATAGTTGTTACTTCATCTTTGCAAGCTCGCATCAGCACTGGTTGATGTCACCATATCGGGAGTAGAATGTTCCAAACGAACTACAGAAACTGCCCTCAGCTATTGATTGCACTAATTCCGAATAAGCAATGCAATACCTCACAATATGTGATCACTGGTTTCGCCGGAACCATCAAAGCCCTTTTTCATGGATTAGAACGACGGAACGACTTATCACTGACTATGGCCAAGTTGCTGATCGGAATCGATTGTGCTATTCGGTACTGACCACGGTTGGTTGTATGATATAGGTACTAATTTGAACTGGTAATTTCCTGCATCTATACTTGTAACAGACCTGGTAAACTCTGTCCCATGCCCCAAATTTGTCACCCCCAATCTGACTTACTGTTTCTGTCGGCAACATTCGCATGGCCAATAAGCGACTAGCGCGGTGAATAGATTGACCAATCCCGTACGAAATAGTTCATCCAACTGACTCTGTTCTTCCTCGGTCAGTTGTGCACATGGTGAGTTGAAGAGGATCACAGCACAGGCTGTCAGCAGTTCGAACAGAGCGGACAGAACCGTCAGGTCCACATCTTCATCGATGATTGCTTGTTTTAATCGGGTCACGTGACGAGAAACCTCGGTCTGGTCCGGCAGAAACGGGCAGAAAAACACTGGAAGTAAAGTTTGTTTGAGAGCCTGTGTAAAACAAAAAAGAACATTGGGAAATCGTGAGATACGGGGCAGATCGGAATGAAAAACAAAACTCTGGCGAATTTTTTATCGCTGTGCAAACGTTCAGATTCTGTGAGTATCTGTGAGCATTACACCTTTAACGCTTGGCAACCGCGCCCCAGTAATATTTTATCGTAAGTGGTTGTACCTCGTTGGACCCTTTTGGTTCATGGCGTTTTGTTTGCTTTGCCTTGCAGGTTTAATTTCATCCCCGACCCATGGAAGACCACCTGTCTGCCCGTGTTTCCTCGCCACCCAGTGTCCCACCTTCCTATCGCGCTTCCCCGTTGTTGTTCGTCCCCCACAAATCTTGTATCATCGTCTCCCACTGAGAGAATACGAACCGAGGGAAACATCCTGTCGCGTATCTCAGTTCACTCCGCTACGCTGCGAGAGCCCGGAGTACGTTCACCGTACACATCTTCTGGATTATTTGAATATTATTGAATTGTTTTCTCATCGCTGTAAGTACGACTTTGGAAAAGAGGACTGCAGTTTATCAAATCCCATCATGAGGAATCCTTTGGTGCGTGAATGAATTGGGCGAGATTGTACAGGATCAATAGATTCAAACACTAGGTCACAGGGTTAGTGCAACTGTCGTTAACGAATACCTTTCGCTCATAGTAAACAATCAGCACGGTGATGCGTATGCGGATAGGGATAAACATTAGGCACAGAGAGAGTTTTAATTTTCACAATCACAACCATGCACTTTTGTGCGCCGGTTCTGTTTGCTGTCTTTTAGCTGTCCATTGGGATAAAAGAGCAGAATGAAGATAGGAATGTCGAGAGCAAATTCAATGGAAAGATAGAGAATTATGTAACATGGGCTTCGATTGCAAGATTAATGAGTAGATGCACGAGTGGCACTGTTTACAACACCCAGCCATATCGTTCAGTGTCTCTAACCACCGGTGTCTATGATCTCGGGGTCCCCATCCAGAGAGCCCAACAGGACCTATGTGACCCAGTCTCCTGGTTGGGGTTTTCATACCGTCGTGCCAGGCCTTCGTTTGACCGCCCTTGATTTTTTTTTCCATCTGGTACCTGCTCCACCAAACATCGCGCGCAGTAGTAACCTATCTGGTGACATGCGTAGCACAAGTCCCAACCAGCGTAATCTATGGAGGTCGAGAAATCTCGTGTCACTAGAAATCGATCTCTCACCGGATTGCTCTCGTTTAGTGTGTGTGTGTGTGTGTATTCACCATGATACATGTGTGATTTGCGAACAGGAATCGTGATTAAATCAACATGTGGATGACGTATTGGTGTTTATAAAGGGAAATGTTTCAAGAATGAAGATGATGTATTCCATAACACATATCACGCCGTTCTGGTATGGCAAGTCTAATGATCGTTAGGTCTGTTCATTCACTGGTGTCCGGTGTAACCCCGGGTCACAGAGGGAACCTCATTAGTTACTTTTCCATTAGGGCCTTTTTACATTGTCACTCATTGATTCCGTTTTTTCCACTGGTATGTATTATTACCCGTTCCAGTATTGGATGATAAGCCTCACCTACAAAACCAGCATTGCTCTCTTTTGGTTTGATCGATCTTTGCTACTGCTCTTCCCGGGGGGTCACATTGAGTCCTTGACAGGGCGATCACCAGCCCAACCGTTTTCTCACCTTCTCGCAAGGCCCTTTGCTTCCGGCAGTGATCAATACCCCCGGACTAATCTAACAAAAGTAACATGTTCACCATTTACCCTTGTTTGTATGTGCAATCAAAGCACGTGACTTTCCACTTACACGGTGCTTCCCCACAAGAATATATCTCTGTTTTACCTGGGACGAGTGACTTCTGTTGTTTCATAGTCCTTCAGTATGGATTCGTCATTCGTGGCCATCTCTCTCTCTCTTTCTACCGGTAGATTTCGACATGTGTTACCCAGTGCGAAGGACTGCTGTGTTCAATGGAAAATATTGAACAACACTGTCTAACTGAAGTCAATACGAAGGAAGAATGAAGGAAACCGTATCGTATACCAGTGGTTGTACGCTCTAGTATATATTCGAATGTCGATAAACTAAACTTTTGTTTGTCCAATGAAACTATTACCCTCGAACAGTCAATCTGCGAGGACATATAGGCAGTGAAATTCCAGGCATCACCGCAGTGCCATTTACTTCCGGTAAATCTGAAACTGGTTCTTTGACTGAGGTGGTGTTCGCGTCAAGTGTGAACCAGTCCGTGAATTCCGGTGAAAGCCCATACTCCTGGAGACCTATCCCTATTATGCTCATCTCAAAGACCACGAATGCATTACAGCCATCACAGAACGTTTGAACCCTATTCGGCACGTTTCAATGGCCAGCACAGAATATGACTGAAGAGACTGTCCCGGTAAGCATACGATTGAATGTTACCGCTCTTCACGACCCCATCAACTTTGTACGCCAATCTAACAGATGCGTACATCGCATCAGTACTTCTTTTAACGGGTAGAGTGAATTTACTGAGTATCCTGATTACTACTCTTCTGTTGCCCACTCAAAAGAATTGTTCACTTGATTCATTCACAACAAAATAACCGAGTCCAAGGGGTCATATTTTCGAAAAATTAAAATTTGACACATCTATCTTGCAAGACACGAAGCAATTCGATCGAATCAACCGTGAATCGTGTTGTGATGTAACAAGTCGAAAATGAAACGATAAATTCAGGAGAGAAGGAACCCGTGTGGATCGGGGTGACTCATTCACAACATTTATCGGTTTTATCCAACCCGAAAGGAAACTTGTGGACGGTTCTAAGCGCTCACCAAGCCAACACCAACATCATGTGTCAGACGAAAAGAGAACCCATCGTGTTTTTCGTAACCTACTTTGTGTGTGTGACATTTTCATCGTGAGATCGCATTCTATTTCGCCTGGTCTACAATCATAGCGGAGATACAATTTGCATGCTCACGTTTGCACTTACATCACCCCATTTCAATAGTACAAACTGGAATTTTAACGGTTATGATGACTAGATATCTCGGAACGGGTTCCGGCAAGGCACGGATCATCGGACAGGCAATAATCTGTTCAACCGGAAGAAAAATAGCCAGGTAAAAGGACCAATGTGCTTTGCGATTAGGCAATCTGGATCAATTTACGAGAAACCTACTGGTCTCATGTTATTTTCATAAACAACTGGTTTCTTGTTCTGGAAGTGGATTCGTATACTGAATACGTCGAGTTTCGTTGCAACACAGACTGAATCACTGACGAAGAAGAGAGAGAAATAGTTTTTATCAATTCTTGTCCGTTTACTAAGGCTCGGACAAATACGGGCCGTTTGACATCCGCTAAAAGCTGACGTCAAAGGCCACTGATAATTCCCTCACTTCCATGAGTTCTCTGTCTTCTTCACAAAAAGTGACGGACAGAAACATCACGAATTCGTGCGATTTGCGCTCGGGATAACGAGTGTAACATTGCACTAAGGCGAATATGAAGTATTCAATTTTAGCTACTGAATACATAGTCAGTAGGTACATGATGATGCACTAACAAACGACAATACAGTCCATATGTGAGTCCAAACAGCCCCACAACGAACAGATCCGTTGTCATTCGGATTAATTTCTCATCTATCCAACTAAAAATTCATATAGGTCACCGGTTCTTGTCATTGGATAGTCCATAGTGGAGTATAGGACTATGGTGCTCACCACTTCTTCTCATCGCATTACTATTGCGTAATAAAGGATTAAAGATTTATAGTAGCCGGTGGAGGTTGTGTAAATATCAGACAGAGAATGTAGTCAGAGAAGCATGTCTATCTTGGCAGACTCTGGAGCACCCTTAATTAGACACATTTCATTTGTAGCTCCACGATGATGCGGAATAAAAAGGCTTCTAAACCTCGGCAAGACTGCATACAGGAGACAGCTACTCCTGAGTGGAACGATACTGATTCACTGGCCACAGATAAAATCTCTCCAATAAAACAACTGAAAATGAAAAACGGTCTGATCAGCTGCTCGGTGGCGTAGTGGGTAGGACGCTTGCGTTCTGCCCATGAAGTCCCGGGTTCGATCCCCAGGGGTCGATGGATTCGCACTGCTGATGAGACCCAACCAGGTCGAAACAGCTGTCCAGTGCTTCCTAGCTTTTCAGTTCACGTTTCGTTTGCCATATACACGACGAATAACCTTTGAAAACAACTGAATCTTCATCTGGCGGACAGTGAATGAGCTGGTAGTGTTGTGAATAATCGGTTAGATTCGGGACGAGAGCGAGAGAGAGACAGTTTGAGTTCCTATTCAAGCTGTTTTGGACTACTTAAATCTTTTGTCATTTTTGCCTGTCACATGTACTGCTACCCGTTGTCAATTGGTTGACCTTTTTCAATCAGTGGGAAAGTCAATTGGAAACCACGTACGGAATACTACTGCGAGGTCTTATGTCAAGCTATTTCAAACCAATCGAACTGGGAGTCATTTTCTGACAGCTTAGTGCAAGTGCAACTATTCTCGAAACAATCCGGTCTCTAAATGCTTCGAATGCGTTTTTAGTCTTTCCCGATGCGAGTATACCTTGAAACGCTCAGTCATCAATTCCAAACCCATCATTAGAATGCATCACTAAATACCTAGGAGTTACTAAAGGGACCAACCTACGGTGGTGATCGCATGTGGCATCCTGAGTTGGTAGACTGCGTCTCTTCTCCTTCCAGATACGAAAGCTACGACAATTTAGAGTGAAACGTGCAACTATGTTCTTTTATTTATCAATGCATTTTTTTCTGTCACACTTCATTGTTCCCTTGAATACCTAAAAAGGATTACATTAATCTTTCGTCGGAGTTTGGTAATAACCGTTCGTGTTCCTCTTTTTCCCTTAAACAATCTAACCTCAAAAACATGTGATTTTCATATTGCTTCATGTGAGAAGTTCGCTCATGATCTACTCAACGACCCCAGTCATCCGCTTAATCCCGATCTGTCTGCTTACTGTTCCCA